CCCCACCTACCCCTTCACGTCCTGGATTCCAGACATTTCACTGTTCTCTTACACGCTCACTACTCATCAAGTGAAATTTATCTTCTGAATTCCTTCATTTCAAAATTAATCAAGAATCAGTCATACTTTTGCGTAATGCTCATCTTGTATATTATTCCTCTTCTATGCTCCGGAAATACCATGAGGTATCTACCTCATAACAGTTGGTGGGGTGTGCGATAGACTTACCTCCTCGTGGTGCACCCTGGGCATCGTTTACTCATACGTCTATCTGGCCCTTCTCCATCTTTGAACGTTCTTCTGTTCCCTCTCCACTTTTTCTCACTTTGAAACCCGAAGTCAGCTAAAGGGCTAATGATAAGTATCATAAAGCCCTCCATTTGAAATATATATAGATTGCAGTTGACTATGACCAAGAGGGTGAGGGTTACCACAGTGTAGTTAAACTCAGGCATTTTGTTAACAAAAGGACTTCAAATGATAATACAAGTTGTTTTAATGCAATTGCCATCAATAAATCATAATGCCGCCAGTCTTTATACCACACAATTGTCCAGCTCTTAGATATGGATTTAGGTGGTCTTTTACCACCCAATTAGAACTTACTAGTTCCTCTCCAAGTGCTTCACTCTGGATGAATTTCTGGTCGATTTGGTACTACATTACTGCTTCTACTGTCGTAGAAACTGGTATGCATAATAGCAATATTTAGGGTGAAGGGAAGAAAAGAAGTATGGGAATACTCTTCAAGAAAATTGTAGTTCACGCCAAAAAGAGGACAGCTGAAAGATAGTGTCAAGACTAATCCAGAGCAGATTATCAGGTAATGTGGCTGGTTCATATTTTATTGAATGGTGAGAATGAATGACTCAAATACATCATTACCTTGATGGTAGTACGTTTTACGATAGGGGGGGGGGGGGGGAGAACAATGCGTCTTGAGCCAGGTAGACTTTTGAGCCATAGTGTTCAAAATAAAGTTTAAGAGAATTTCATTCCTGAATCAAGGAAGGTCATCATTAGTTATAGGGTGTCCCTTTTCCTTTAAACATAAGGAAATGCGGAGAAATTAGTTTCGCTAGAAGGCTTGTCTTCCATACGTTATTCAGGGAAACGTTGCAGTGGATACTAATTTTTACGAGCGAAAGATCTGATTCATCAGTATTTCTTTTATTCTAATATTTAAAGTCAATTATAATTTGGCCATTTTATTCGATATTCCCTCATCTCTCCATTTCCTGCGATAGAACTTGCTGGAAGCCATTTCCATGACTAAAACTCCTCATTTCTTCTGCTGTCATAGTACCCTCTTCCCCTTTGCAAAGTCTCATTAAAGCAATAACTAAACTAAATTATTTATTTGTTGACGAGGTGCACGACAGACTCACCTCCACATGGTGCAACCTGGGCAACTTATACTCCCACACCAATAAAGACTATATACCAACAGTTGATTTTGACTTGAAGCTACCATGACTCCACTGAATGCTATATTCCACAACTTTCACAGTACTCACCGTACCTTTTTCTCTAACTTTGTGTCTCTGTCTCTTTACCATTTGTTCCCCCTCCCCCCCCCCTCGACTTTTAACAACCTTGATGTTTCTCCCCTCTGTGAAGTCTGACGTCAACTAAATGGCTAATTATGACTATCATAAAGTTTCCAATTTGATATAATTGTATTTATTTGTTGATCGTAATGAGTTTTGTATTTTTCCTGAAACAAGTATTTTAGGAAGTCGTTAGTAAATAGATCGAAATCAAAGTAACTTTTAGCCCTTAGATCAAAAGACGTGACAAAAATTGCAAAGCAGCTATGTTAAAGTGAAAAGAATATACAAAACGGGCAATATATTGAGCTTGTGGTATTAGTGAGTGTAGCCGTCGATAAAAGCTTGGATCAAATTGAATGAGATCATGTGGCATTTCCAACCTATACCACCTCGAAAGAACGAACACACAACCCATGAAACCTTGGGTCATATCGCGTACTTCAATAAGATAATTAGCTTGGTAATCAGGAGGTTGATTGCCATCCACTGTAAGATCCCAACACGCATGAATTTGTGGCTCTGAAGGCTAGATTTGGAAATAGAATTAGTAGTAGAACTTAACAAGGTGGAAGCGCTAATACATCAACTTACGAGAGTTAATTCAGCATATCCGCCAGGAGTAGGTAAAGTGCCAAGAAGGAGATAATGCTCAAAATTGGCACGAATTTGAAACAAATGTCGCCCTGAGGGACTGTTTAAGAATTCTAATATTCTACTCTTTTCGTACTGCAAATTCATAATAATGCTCCAATTATGAGAAATATTAGTTGAGTTAATATAACTCAAGTATTTAATTTTGAATTTTGAGTGAGCAATATTGGGCTTTTAGGTATTAATCATAGCTCTCTCTCACTCTCTCTCTCTCACACACCACCACATTGCTCCAACTGTTGGGGGTAATTCAAGCAATCGTGGAAAAATATCGACACTCTAATGGGATCAACGAATAGAGAGAAGGCTGAACCGTACTGATATTCTCATATTGTTATGAACAACTCATTTGCTATTTTAATCACAACAATTTCATCTACATTATCACTACAATAACTACTTCTAGCTGCATCTTGCTAAGTTTTGGGTTTGAGGTCGTTTTGGGCTACTTCATTACCCGCAGCAAACGAAATGCAAACTTAATTTTCGGCGCTTTCAAATCAAGCATTCAAATAGAAACCCTATCGAAAATCTCATTCAACTAAATGAACTTCTCACACGCCTCCTTTCTGGGAGCACCATCTATCGATAAAAAATCTCACCAAATTAGCCCCATTGTCACCTGACTCGTAATAAAATGCGGAACAGAATTAGAAGTGAATAGAAGGTCAAATTAATCATAATTAATCATTAAAAGTGAGAAGTAAATGTAAACGCGTTAGTATTTAGTGGCTGCGACTAATGTGGCCAATTGATACACTGAACTAAACGCCTTCAAGGAGGGCAGCTGCCAATAAAATTTCGGATCAAAAAGGGGTATTTCAGACGGCATTTCTATTCCATGTTTTGTGTCGCGTACGCTACTCTAAAATGCAATTTAGCGCGATATATATCAGGCAGGTTACCTCCACGTGGTGCACCCTGGGCAACATATACTCATACGGCCAAAAAGTCTATTATTCGGCAGTTGACTTCTGACTTCGAACTAAAGGACTAATGATAACTATCATAACGCCTGCCATTTGATATAAATATCAGGCAGGTTATTGGGCACTTCGAAAATCCATCTTGGTAAAGGTGAAGGCGAGATTGAAAAAGGAGGTGGATTTAGTGGCCAATGTTAAATTAGAACGAGCAATCCAGTTTTACTTACTCAGTAAAGTTTAATATAGCCCCCAAGATCACACAAGACCCTTAGATGGAGTGACGTAGAAGAAATTCTACGAATTTGCAAAAATTGCTGAATCATGTAATGATTCAAATACGTCACTATTCGACGCCTTGCTCGTCGGTGAACCATGGTAAAAATTTTCAAATTCCTCATATATTTCACTCGTATTTTCACCACGTGCTTTACCATTAATCAATTATTTAAATTTGAACTTAAATTTGTTCAAAATAGCCCCAGGAATTTATTTATTCTTCTAAATTTGTAAGAGTTTGTAAAATTGGAAAAAAGTGAATTCCATTTCAAGATGCCATACTTCATTTCAGCTAGTTGTATTTGAATATTACTTCACTATGCTCAACTGATTGCCTTAATGAATTGCCACATGAGTTTGATTTATTCAGTAAGTAGCGCCTTAAATATCCCAATATTAATATAAGATTAATATTTCATTTATACGCACCGCATTGAATGAGGAATGTTAACATATTGTATGCTGTCGTAATAACACCTGTTGCGATTGCTGAACAAATAATCCCCTTGTTAAATTTTAGGGGTCTCCAAGGCAGCTCAATTGGCGGGTGCTTAGTAAAACTGACCTCTGGCACCTTCTTGGTGGCTAAAGCTAGCTGGATTATGATCACTTTCCTGAGAACACAAGAGGCACGGGGTGAAATTCGTGTATTGAAAGAATGGCGCATCTGAAAATATGATCAGTAATTAAATGTATTTAACGCTACTTTGAAGGAATATTAATCGCTGATTAGGTGAGAAGGCCTCTGTGCACACAACTGAATCTGCCTGTTAAGTGATCGATAACACTGACGCATTATCTAGAATATTCCAATGCGCGAGATCCCTTTACTCGGTAATGGTAGCGTGGTACACACCACAAAATAACCGGATCATCAAAAGCAATGCGGAAACATCCATGATGAATCTACTTTAATAAGTTACACCATTTTCGTCTCCAGATCAAACGAAAGTACGTTCTAATCCATATTTAAATATATGCCCTCTTGAAACATGACGATTTACTAGGAACCATATCTGTCGATAATATATCACCTAATCAACGCCCCCTTTTTCCTTTCTTGAATCAGCAAAAACTACCCCCCCCCCCCCCCCCCCCGATAACCGATTAGATCACTCGAGCGCCTATTGCCAACCTGATGCATACTACTTCTCTGATAAGATATCAACATAAGTTGCTGAAATGGTGTTAACCAAGTTATTGATACAAATGGTAGATTATAACGTGGGAAACAACTTAGCCCGCCACCACCAAATTCTACTGCCCAAGAAAAATGAGAGAAGTCACTTCCATTGAATGAATAGTGAGAGTGAGATTTGACGGAGACTAGGAAAGGTCTAACGCAGATGTTGAAGGGGCCTAGTGGATGGTATTAACATGCAACCACCAAGTTCGAAATAAAAACAAAGAGTGAAGAAACCCGGGAGAGAGATTTGCGATTTTCAGTAAAAACAGGAATAAACGGCCCGTGCAATGTGTGTGTGTGTGTCAGCAATAGGAAGAGCATATACTCGTCATGCATTAAAATGCAGAGCTGACGCCGACAGCGAAGGAAATTAAGGTAAATGGGCAAATAGAAGGTTAAGTACATTGGAAAGTCAATCGTCCTCCTCGGAAGATAGCGGAGCCTCTGGAGCTGGGAAATAAAATGATAGACCAAATGCTTGGTCTTCAGGTGCTTCAATGAGCGTAGAAAGCTTATCATCTCCATTAGATGGGCTGAGAGTGGGAAGTTGTTCGTAAAATTCTGGATCGAATTGAATTACATCCGACGGCATTTCTATTCCAAGTCGCTTTGAAATCACAAACATACAACCAATGAAACCCTGGGTCATGGTAGCGACATTAAAATAAAAGGCAATAGGACGTTTAGGGCGCTTAGCAGCTTCAATTCCAACATCCCATCTCGCGCCCCACCTTGCAAATGATCCCTAGAGATAGAGATATATATAATTAGGAATGTAACTTAAATAAAAATATGCAATTTAATAAAATTACAATGATCATTTCGATGTGTCCTCCCTCATTTCCCACGATATTAAAACGCCAGCGCGTATCAGCTTTTAAAAGCTTACGGCTTGAGGGCTGTTTCAAAAATGACCGTATTCTCTTGAATTCTTCTTTTGCATCCATAATAATAATAATAATAATAATAATGAGTGAATAAATGAATGAAAAGACAAGTTTTCATTGAATTTATAGCATTTTTAGAGTTAGCATAAATCAGATTTTTAAATTCAAACTCAAATTTTCAAAGATATTGTCAAAAATCTTAGGCATTAAGACTTCCGCGAGGCTTAATATGCCGTTAAAAATTTAAAGGAAATTTTAATTCTTTCCACAATACACTGTTTTTGAAAGTCATGCGTTGAGAGGCTGTATGAAGGGAACATATATTTATTGCAAATGGCAGTCTTTATGATGATGGGCTTCACCGAGGGGAGGAATATCAAGTTCACAAAAAGTGGAGGGGGGGGGGATGAGAGACAAAAGAGTGATTCACAGATGTAAAAGAGGCAGACAGACAGAAAGGTAGAGGAAAAGGTTAGGTGAGTACTGTGAAAGTGGTGGAATATGACATACAATGGGGTAATGGTAGTTTGAAGTGAAAAGTCAACTGTCGGTTAATAGACTTTATTGGTGTATGAGTATACGTTGCCCAGGATGCATCATGTGGAAGTAAGTCTATCGCACACCTCGTATCATTAGAAAATAGTACCTACCGAGTATCCAAGCCTTAAGTTAGATCAAGAAAAGTTAACAGCGGTCAGAAAACCACCTGCCGAATCCGCTAAGGTCTGTTTTGGCATAACTGACGGTTTCAATGAAATTTCAGCAGAACATTTTTAGATGTTAATAAAGTAGCTATCTCAGCTTTGCTCCGTTAAATCGTGTAAATTCACAGCAGATAACTTTGACTTCGCCATCGTTGGACCAAATAAAATGGATTTACTTAATGAGTCCAAACATTCAGTCCCAGAGACAATTATTGAATATTTCGTTTTGAAAACGTGAATTGCCATAAAAGTGAGGATTAATCACCTCTGACCCACACGTCGACTTTCATTAAACGCTGATGCCTTGAAGTAATACCTCAAGTATTTTGCCTCCTAAAACACAAGATTAATCGATTCCGATTGCTTAGCAAAATGAAAAAAGTGGTGCAGACTTTTGATCATTCAAGATAACAATGATATGGTGATAAAATGGATTATGAAAAGTAGATGGTCTCGAATGAGGAGTTTTCAAAGCGTCCATCATTCCTGGTGCCAGTGAAAAGAATTAGTAGTAGCTATACTGTCTCAACCATATGTCTTCTTGGTCTGTCTACGTATTGCACACCAATAAACCAAAACGTGTGCACTATGTGGTTAGAAGCTTATTAATTGGAGAAGGTTACAAAATTGGTCATCAGCCTCATCGTACCTTTTTAAATCTGTTTCTCACAATCCGCGATGTCCTTCTTCATTGCTACTGACGTCATATTTCCTCCAAGTTCATCTTCCTACACTTCTTGATCGGATAAGTCATCAAGCGAACTTAACTTTTGACTGGCTCCACCAAATTTATTCTCTTCAATTCTCTTTATCCCTCTTTTAAAGAACCGTATTGTCCTCTTTTCACCAGTCGCTGCCACTGTCACTACTTCTAGGTTGGCCAGCCTACTCATGAACTTCAGAAAGATATTGAAGATATTGATGAATGATTTGAATATATAAATGAGTGGGAAAGAGACTGCAAAATCCCACGAATTTTAAAGCACCCAAAATTTCCAAATATTCGATCGTTTTTCTTACTCAGGTCTACCAATCAAAGTAATCTATTCATGGACTGTATAGTAAATTAGTTATTATTACAATTTTAGCTATCCTAAGCAACCTTCGCTCTTACCGAACTGCAAGACGATAGGTACATTTTCTGATCAAGTAATGACCAAGTTCCTCCCATGGCTGTAGACGTATTTGTTTCTCTACGATCCAGCATGATTGCAAGCCTACTTCTATCTTGCGTGTGGTTTGTTTTAGAAAAAAGCACAATCTCATCCAGGCATCTTGTTACTAAGAGGAGCATGATTTTGGGGTGATTGAAGAGTTTCAATTGCTAGATAAGTTTGAATTTTAAGAGAAAACAGCTGTAAGAACTGCCGTAACCGAATACTACTACTTGTGAAAGAACCAATATTATCTACTTTAAAGGGGTATTGGTTAAAGAAATGCTTTTTTAATAAATCAGGCAATATGGAGAGGTCTGCATGCACTAGATCACCATAGACATGATAGACATACCTCCACGTGGTGCACCCTGGGCAGCGTATACTCATACGGAAAAAGTCTATTAACCGGCAGTTGACTTCTGACTTCAAAATACCATGACCCGACAGTACGTCATTTTCGACTCCCTCCACAGCACTCATCTCACATTTTCTCTACCTTTGTGTCTGTCTGTCTCTTCTAAATCTTTGAATCACTCTTTTGCTCCACCCCTCGAATTTTTCCCACTTTGATTTTCCAAAGTCCGAAGTCAGCTAATTGGCTAAGGATAAATATTCAAAACGCCTGCCATTTGAAATAGTAATAATGTATCATCGGTCCATCTTTCCAAATTCGGGGTCGCGCATAAATGCGAGGGTGGTAATATGGACTCTTTTGGTGATTCAACCTACGCGTGGGGGGGGGGGGGGGGGGGGGGAGGGGTGGGAGAGGAGTCGTGAAAGCAGGTCATTTGTATTCCACATTTCCAAAAAGAAGGAAATGACTGTTTTGAAAATTAATGAAATAGTGAATAAGATGGGAGAAATTATTCCCCTCATTGAGGGCTAAAGACTGGCGCGAAAACAAGAAATGGGAAGGAATCAAAATGGCAGAAGGACAGGAGTTGAGGTGTCAATCTTTCAAAGTTTGATTTTGAGATTCGAGTTGAAAATAGGCCTATTGGACAATTCACATTTCGAAATTCAAATCTCATGAATCGCCCCTTTGATTGTCATATTTTGTTTACTAATTACTTCGATGGTTGGTCTTGCCACTTCAACTCATCCCCCCCCCCCCATCCCCATCCCCCTCCCCCGAACTCCCCTTCCCCCATCATTGAATCCAAGAATTAAGAAACCAGATCGATTTCTCATGATATCGAACAGTAGTTGCGACGTAAGCGGATTTGGTTTGCAGTGGTGATGAAACCTGACCTCCAAGTGTTAACTCGAAAGTCCTTAGAATCTCCCAAATATGGAAGAGGTATCAGCATATAATCTTTTGAAGTAGGCAAATATTTTTTGCTAAAATTCAGGCTTACAAAAAAGACATAAGAATAGACCACCCGCTATCGAAAGTCTCTATCAGCCTCCAGAGTTGCGTTTTAGCTTAATGGAATATTTCCAAACCATGAAGCATGGAGGCCTTACGAACGAAGAAACGCCAATCGCAATTTAGCCCATACTTAAATCACGGGCCCATGGACCCAAATCTCTATGCCAGACTCTTCTCCCTGATACGACTTTTAAATTAACGGTCAACCTGTATGTCTGCTAAGTGGGGTATGCGATAGACTTACCTCCATGGGCAACGTAAACTCATACGCCATAAAAGTCTATTAACTGACAGTTGACCTCTGACTTAAAACTACCATCACCCCATTGTATGTCATATTCGACCCCTTCAGCAGTACTCATCTTACCTTTTCTTTGCTTTTGTGCCTGTCTGTCTCTTTTACGTCCGTGAATCATTATTCTGTCCCTTTTCTCGACTTTTACTCACTTTGATGTTTCTCCTTCTCTCTGTGAAGCCCGAAGTCAGCTAAATGGCTAACGATAACTATCAAAACGCCTGCCATTTTAAATAAATAAATGGTTGCCAAGTCCAAGGTCATTGGAGAGATGTTCTTCGGGCACACCGCGGCTTTTAACAAATGGTGCAATAGACTGAAAGTCTAATATCGGGGTAACTCCCTCCACAAAGGCTCCTACCATTTAGTGGCATGTAAAATTCATCCATTTGGTAATTAGGGACTTAATGGCCATGTTCGCTGACTATATGCTGACTTGCTTTGAATGGAACTTAGGAAACTGCCAAGTGTTACTGGTTAATTAGTCTAAGAACACGTCAGTCTAAAAGGTAAGGTTTGAAATTACCACATTGATGGAATGTCTACGCTATATATACTACTTTCATCCTAACATAATAAAGCTTACGAAACAAAGTAAGTTGATCAGGGTTTCGGTTTTTTTACGGTATGATAAACACAATTATAGGAAGTGTCAAATATTATAAATACGAAGCCAATCGTGTTATTTCCAGCGCAACATGGAGGTGACACTTTTTTGCTCGTAAGGTAAATGGCGGGTTTTTATGGGAAGATAACTTCGCCTGTTGTCAGATGGCAAGTGTTAATTCACCTTCTGCTAACCTTTAAGATCGCGATGATTTTTGGCATTGAAAACTGACAGCAACAAGATTTCTCACCCTTCAACGTCTTCCTTCAAATTTTCCTGCATTGACTTTGACTCATTTTTGCATGAGAAAAACGTTGATTTTTCAACGTTACCATGCTGCATGAAGAAGAGCTTAAAGATTTAAATTTTGTTCGAATAAGGGTACCTTAATCAGTTGCATCAGTTTTGGATCAGTATGCACTTCTAATTTTTCCCTTAATGTCCGGCTACCCCTAGTCACTGAATATAAGATTTATTTATTTATATCAAATGGATGATAGTCATCATTAGCCCTTTAGTTGACTTCAGGCTTCACAGATGGAGAGGAACATCAAATCGAAAAAAAGTCGAGGGGGGGGGACAGAAGAGTGTTTTAAAGGTGTAAAAGAGACAGACACAAGGTGAGGTGAGTACTGTGAAAGTGGTCGAATATGACATACAGTGGGGTCATGATAGCTTGAACTCAGAAGTCAACTATAGTCGGACCATAGTAGTTTGAAGTCAGAAGTCAACTGCCGGTTTACGGTGGGGTGATGGTAGTTTGAAGTCAGAAAGCAACTGCCAGTGAGGGGTGATGGTAGTTTGAAGTGAGAAGTCAACTGCCAGTGCGGGTGATGGTAGTTTGAAGTGAGAAGTCAACTGCCGCTTAGGGTGATGGTAGTTTGAAGTGAGAAGTTAACTGCCAGTTAATAATGTGAGTACTGTGGAAGTAGTCGAATATGACATACAGTGGGATCATGGCAGTTTGAAGTCAGAAGTCAACTGCCAGTTTATAGCGAGTACTGTGAAAGTGGTCGAATATGACATACAGTGGGGTCATGATAGCTTGAACTCAGAAGTCAACTGCCGGTTGATAGATTTTTTGTCGTATGAGTATACGTTGTCCAGGATGCACCACGTGGAGGTAAGCCTATCGCACACCCTCTGAATATAAGATAGAATTCTTTGAAGAAATATATTTACAAATGATTGAAAATATTAATTCGAGTTCGGAAGAAGATAGGCATGACAGTGATGAACCTGTGATTCATGCTATCTTTCCCTTTATACGGATATTAAAAGGTCAATAAAATGCCGAATACAAAAGAAGGAGAAAAAAACGAATGTGTGAGTGAAAGTTGCACGCCTTTCCTGATTACCGATAGCCCAAATATTTTCCCACAATTTTTGGCTTTATTGGCTATCGATTGCACTCGTGTCAAGAAAATGCAGACGAAAAAATTAAATAAAGTGGGGGATAAAAAAACAAGCTACACGAAAGAAATTTTTGTTTATTTACCTACTTGAAACGGCGCCTAAAGTACGATGCACTTTAACAGAATCAAGCGATAACATATTGCCAAATCGGGAGTTCCAAAAGCCAAGCCTGAGGAGAGGGGAGGAAGTTGGGAGGGCCAAATAAGTGTTTTCGAATGAGGTCACGGAACTAATCGCATGGCTAAAACATGGGTTAATAAACAAGTTAGCTACTTTTACGATTGTGTAATAAAAGCCGCCCAATCGGAAATTTATGTTTAAAAATTTTTTGACCGGGAAAAAGTAAATTATCAGGTTACTGTTAATTATCCTCTAAATTTCACTTATTTGTTTATATGTGCTAAATTACAGGGTTTTTAGATAGTATTACCTTGGAATGAAGCCTGTATTTAGGGCATTTATGCGTTTTCTTAGGTTCTGAGATTTGCAGATACGTTGTTCGAAAATACATTAAATAATAAGTAAGATGGCCTATATGAGTTCATTAGGGATTGCCGATATTTGGAAATATTTTACCGGGCTGGATGTGGTTAATTGCTTTTCCAATCTCATCAATTCTAATTAATACACTATTAAAACTTAATATGCTAATAACTCAGCTATTTTTGGAGTAATTTGCATTATTCAACGCCAGAAATAACTGAATATGGTAGTAGTAACTGAATTCTGGTAGTAGAGTTTTTAATATATTATTATATCCATACGATATAGTTTCTATAGGGATTCATAGACCTCAATAATATTGTTGAAGTTTATTGTTGTAAGTATTATTGTACATAAAATATATGATTGCATGTGATCTAACAGTGTAGGCTTTTGATCGAAAACCAAAAATATAGCATTTCTCCTTTGAAATCGAAGGCAGGTTACCGCTTTTCCGCGTTTTATGCTTTTATCCTAGTCTAGTTCCTTTCCTTCGGAATTGCACAACAGCTTGCCGCATACATCCGTGAAAAAGCAAATGTAATAAAGTTTTTTACCTCCGCATCAAACAAAATAACTGGAACATAAGCATGAATTTAAATTTCAAATAAAACCCGGGTATGGAATATTAATATCAACTGGTAGGCCCTTTACTTGACTTCGGCCTTCATTAAAGTCATAAAATGTTGGGGGGGGGGGGGGGGGGGGGGGGGGGGGGAG